ATATATATATATATATATATATATGTGTGTCCATCCGCACGATAACTTGAGTAATTTTCGTCCGATTTTGATAAAATTTGGTTTGAAGGTGTAAGGCGGGATAAACTTGAATGAGTTCGCGAACCAGCATGATCGGACTATGGGAACGGGGGTTTATGGGGGGTTTTATGGGGTAAAAATAGGTTTTTCCCATTTTTGACCCTAAAAACACAAAATTTCACAATTTCTTTTCAAACCATTTTGTAGAGCTTAAAAAAACAAATAATTTAGTATAATGAAGCGTTATTATGCGCCTAATTGTTACGGAGAAAATTCAAAAAAATTTTAATTTTAATATTCCCATGTTATTCTTATGGAGAATAAGTCAACTGTTGTAGTTTGCTTGTTTATGAACATATTTTGATCGATTTTGGAAAATACTTTTATTTCTTACTAAACTATTATCATTTTATTAAAAAAATCTTTTTTACCCTCCCTGTTGCAGCAAACCTGAGTACTCGTTAAACTAATTCTATTTAAATAGGAAATAAATGTGCTATTTTTATGGAGGCATTTTAGTGTAAATCCAATCAGGTTAATGGAAATTCGCTCAGTCTGCAGGTTTGCTGTGGCGGGGGTATTTTATAATAGATGTTAACTTTTCAGTAGATCCTTTTATTTCTGTAGCTTGCTTGCATTATTTTTTGCTTAACTTATTCTGATATTTGACAAGATCTACTGCATGTTGATTTAATTATATGAACAAATATCTATCTATCCAATCACCAAAATTATTTTATTAGTATAATATTCCTTATATGGAGTATCCTTTAAAATAATTGCTCTGATTGGTCGTGGCTTTCCCAGACAGTGGAGACCCTCTAGCTTTACTAAAGTCTAGCTAAACTAACTGTATGTATATAATCCTTCATTTAAGTATTGCTTTCATTAATTTGTAATACTCAGTTGTAGTTATTTATTTTTTTTCGTTCTATAATTTCTTGGAGTGATGTGTGTAACGTATGTTGTGTATATTATCCTAAGAGCTGAAAACTCAAAAATGTGGGATGTATTTTTAGATACAGTATTCATAATATATATAACTTAGGTTAGGTCTGACTCTATTCTTTGTAAACAATTTACATGTTACAGAAAAAAGAAGTTATGAACTGAATTGAATAGGTTTTTAATAATTTTGTCAAAATTCAAATATCTTATGGTAATTTTGAAATTATAATGAATTTTGGGTTATTGAAAATATAATTTGGTTACTTGAATACTATTGCAATTAAGATACTAGTGCTCATCATTACAATCTTCTGTTCTGATAAGTAATACTTAAGTACAATGGTCGGAACCAGAGTTTCGGACTATTGCTAGAGTGCTAGAACATGAAGCTGGGAGAAGCAACTGATGGCAAAGGAGAACAGTACGGCCAGTGGATTACCAATGTTTTAGTGGTCTGTGCACCAGTGGTAACCATGTGGTAACAGGCAGTACGTTTTATTTTTGTTGGCTGGCTCTCACCTTACCTTGAAATCTATGACACACCGCTGATTTTAAAGTCGGAGAGTTTCCCGAACGCTTGTAAGCCAATTCAATTTATATTGTAGCCTGCACATTGAAATAAGAAAGTTGCGATCATAAAACCTCACGTGAGTTTATATTTTGATAACTAAAATTCAAAAATAATTGTTGGATTGTATTGCAAATATTCCAAGGTGGTATGATTGATTCCAGAAATAGGTTTGGACGATGAATAGTGTAAAATATGAATCTAAATCTCCTAGAGAAAAAAATTAATTATGTTTCGCAATTGTAAAAAACAACCTTTATTTGTAGTTTACACTAGAAAACCTGTACTCACGGCAATATATATTTTATAATTTTGAGTTAAACATCGATTCTTAAAGTGAGATTAAGTAAGTTAGAGCATACCAAGTTTAATATACACAACTCAATAACTACATAACAGAGCATTGATTTCCATCCGAGCGGTTTTGATTCACATTATCTTCCTCTTTGGTGAAAATGTTACACATTTCATCAGTTGTTTGCTCATGTTCCACCTCCCATTTTATGTAATCTTGACTGTTGGATTCATTGGTCCAGATTTTAGAGGGAGGAGTATTTTTATCCACAATGAATGCCGTGGGTGGCTCACAATTGGTACTATAATCTTCTATATAGTTTTCGCAGTTGGTATCCATGCGCCGACTTGTTGTACTATGCCTAAACACATCAGGGCTAGTTGTAACAGTTGAGATCGGGGGAGATTTTTGGGCCCAGAGTATTTCCTTAATTATTGGTTTACTTGTTGAACTTATCTTACCAATTTGATTAATATGTCTAGAAAGTAGCTGCTCCTTTGTCTCTTTTAAGTGTTTAACTGGACTTATTGAGTCGTCTAATATGGCGTCCTTGATTAATAAAGATTTTTGGGATACTATGCTATTTCTTAAACTTTCTGCTTTACTTTTTAATTTAATATCAAAGTTTCCTCCCAGCTCATAGTTGAATACTTCGTTGTCATCCTCATTGTGGTTTAATTTCCCACTCTGAATGTATAAAGATGTGTGATTCGAAACATGTTCTTGTACGTTGTTGTGACTTTTGTTCCTCGTTTCTTTGTTCGTCACATGAACAACTCGTTCTTTTTCATTTTCACAGGATTTCGCATAGGTCAGTCCAATCGTTTCCTTCTTCTGTTCTACTTTATGAGCTTGTATCGTTCCATCAATGTTTTGCGTTTTAGTAACAGTTAGAGTTCTTTGAGTAACAGGAATTGAAGTATCTTTTGGTTTTATGTAAATATTCACTTCATGAGCTGGTTGGGGAGAGTGAGCATCGGTGCACCTTTTCAAAGGCTGATGTGCATTAACTGTCGATGGCTTGAATGCATTTACAAACTTTCTGTGACGGTTGAAGCGAGGCTGTCGTTCATCAATGGCATTATCATCTCTAACATGACACGTAAAAAAAGCCTTTCGTTCCTTAGAAGTCATTTCTTCAACTTTGCAAAATACTCCTGATCTTAAATTCTTTCTCCGATTTCCAATCACTTCTGTGGCTGGTGTGTTGAAATTATTCAAGACATTAGGTGGTTCGGACTCCGACATAATATTGTTTATTCGTTTATATCTGGAGGCAAAGGTTTTAAATTTTGTCTGCTTAGGTAAAATATATCTTTCTTTAAGTTCTTTGCCTTGAGGCTTCTTAAATATATATTGTTGCGTTGCAGTCCCAGGCAGTCGTTTGGGTAAAACTTGGTTTATGTCATTAGAAGGAAAGTTCGAGGTTGTCATGTTTAAGATCGATGGCTCACTTCGATCCTTGAAGCACGTCCGATGACTGTTCGACATTGGGGGGTGAAGTTGTTCATGTCCATTGACCTTGGGTTTTACTTTTCCTGTACCCATCACTATCTGTGACCACTTTTCTTTTGATGGTCGAATTTTGTATCGCTGGAAGCGTTCAATTGTTATATCATCTCCACTCTTGAACTGCCTTGTTTCCTCATACACTAAGAGATTATTCAGGGCTGGATCCGATGATTCCTGATTTTCTTTGATTTTAGGGAAATGGTTCTGGGAACCTTTATAATTTTTTAAACAGTTACATCCACATTTATGATCTTCTCGGTTTTTAATGTTATCCAGTTTAAAATAATTGTCAATGTCTCCATATTTTACGTCAAAACAAAGCAATTTTCTCTGTTGAGGTTCAGCAGCCCTTGAGAATTCAGTGTCCAAACCTCTTGATTGGCTTAAAACTACTTCCTTGGGGAAATCTGAAAAAAAACAATCGTTAATTGTATAAGAATTATTTATCAAACCTGCTAATAATTTAGGATCAATCTCTAAAGACAAACGTTACCAAATCATGTTCTAAATAAGTTGGTTTGCTCTTTTTGGTTGGTTTTAGAGTATTATTGTTAGATAGAATTAGATTTCCTTGTAATATATGTTTCATTTTGACAAAATGTTTTATGTTCCTTGTATTTATGTATTTATTGCCATATGTTTTTGTTATTAATTTTAATTATTGTGATTTTGTTTACTTTGTCTTGACTCGATTAAATTGGAAATACAGTCCTTTTAGCGAATTTCACTTTAGGGAAGTAGCTATCACCGTAGGTGGCACGGTAAGACCTAGGCCCGGGATCAATTTACTTTTTCATTTTGTTGCCTCCGGAGGCCAAAAACACTAGTTGTAAACATTTTTTATATGTATCGTTAAAGCTTATATTTTTAAATAGTGAGAATAAGTGAGAATAAAATTATACAATTGGAAATTCGCTTAGTCTGCAGGTTTGCTGCAGCGGGGGTTATTTTCTACAGCCCTTTTTATTGTTAAACATAAAATTCATTTGGTTAACATTTGCTACACTATTTAGTGAAAGAGTCACGAACGTAAAACAACAAAAGTATGGTCTGGAATAAATGGGTATCGGAGTTTTGAAAATAAATCAATTGTTTTGTTAGTAAAAATGCATAGTAAGAATAATAGCTAGGAGATCGATAAGAAATAAACATTGTTACACAATATTTAGTGAAAGTAAGAGAAATTATCAATTGTCTATGTATATTAGTAAAATAGTTAATAGTATAAAGCTGAAGTTTTCTGATCTTTGATAACACAGCGTTAGCTCCACAGCTAAGTGGCTGAGCATTTTATAATAGTTTACATCATTGGTTTGCCAAATAAGTTTCCTATGCAGAACGTGCCAAAGTAAGTGGAAAACATCATCTTACGTTCAAAATATCAAGTAAATAGACAATTTCTTAACACCATTTAGTTTGGATATTATTTACTTATTTGTAAAACACTTACCATTTTCTGTAAATGAATCGTAATGTGATGGTAAATTGTTATATTGTCGTTGTCGTCCAATAACAAACCTTTGAAGAATGCCACTATGTTTTCTTACTATACATTCGGCTAAATTTTCTGATAAGTATAAAGTCTCTAACTCCAAGTCAAATTCTGATAATAAGTCACAGAGAAGAATTCCAAATTCATGTTCGAATAAAGGCATTTGTTCGGAGCGCTGATGTATAGACTTGAAATCTATTTCTTCAATAATTGGAGAGGTAGGGTTCTGTAAGGTTAATGCCAAATTCTTCATGCCTAAGCGATTTTCTGTAGGAATATTTGATGTAGTAACATTCATTCTATTCCCAAACCCTTTATCCGTGTTATCTGTACCAGCTTCCTGTCTTCCTATGTTTTAAGCTTTCCTGAAAAATTATTACAATAAACAAATAGTTACACTAAAACATTTATAAATAATAAAATGTTAGTGCGAGGGCACTTTGTCAAGAAAGGCAAAGATCAAATAAACTATCAATGTATTAATTACCAATTGCCAAAATACCAATAGATTGCCAATAGCTTTTGCTAATTTGGAGTGATTAATTCTCTCTGCTCACCATCACAAAAAACAATAGGAACTTTTGGTACGGAAAACCTTTATATACAGAACCCCTTCATTGAGAAACCCATACCACTATTTAACTTAAATCAGATTCATAAGTGTGTTTTAAGGTTGTCAAGTTTTGGGAAAATATTTAACTCGTTATAGTTATAAAGTGTACACAGTCATGTCAAAGCAGAATCCAAGTTATTTAAAACTCAATCCAAATCATTGGTTGCATTTATATTTTTTGTACATCAAGTCAGTTTCATATACTTAAATTCACTGTATTTGATTTTTATTTACAAAAAGAAATCATTATTTCACTAAACATCTCGTGTGGAGGCCCAAAACGATTGGTTAAAAATAGTTATTCCTCACTTGCTTTGTATATTTCTACAGGACGGCTATACCAATATTAACTTAATAATAAACCGAATTTAAATATATCAAAAGTAAATACCTCTTACATTTTGTGGTGTATTTCAAGTAATGTTCCCCATGTTTTGTAATGTAGACTGTAACGCAGTAGCTGTCTGATATTGCAAACAAGTATGTTTTTCAATCATTATCTGATTCCACTGTTAGCATTATTTAACAATGAATCAGTAGATATCGTCAGGAAGTCATGTTAATTTACACGATTAAACAGTTTTAAACGTCACTTAATCTTTTCGAGGTCAAACGATGTGTTTCGTTAAAGATAATAATGTTCTTATAATTTATTTGTTTTGAATTATTTTAGTAAAATACAATCAAGATAATGTATTACTGCAAACGATGTGTAGGCTACTTTTGTAGAAGGAAAGGTTTTCTCCGTAAGGGTACAGAAAATGTTTGCAATAGTTGTAAGCGGATTTCCCATATAGGGAATAAGCTATTACCGTAGTTATTTCTTACCAAACTATTAACATTATAGGTACAAAAAAAATTTTTTTACCCTCCCTGTTGCAGCAAACTTAAGGACCCTTTTTAAAATACAAAATTCTGTTGAAAGAAATTACAAAATATGTTTAAGTTTTTATTTATGGTCATAAAAGTAAAAACTATGTAATTTTGGGTTAACAAAAACATTTGTAAAAGTTAGTAAATTAAAACTCTGTTTAATATTTCAATATTAAATTATTGTAACAATATTGTTAATCATAATTGTTTCTTTCCTCTTGTAGTCCAATAACATGCATTATACATTATACTATCTATTTACTTTCACATTAGCAGTAGAATACTTTAGTAGGTAATTCGCTCATTTAATAAGATAGCTTGTTTGTACAGTTTTATTAGAAACTAGCTGTTGTGCCCGTCCTTTGCAAAAGGAAGAGGACATGAAATAGAAACATTTTGATCCTAATAACATTTTAACATCTGTTTTATAAAATAGTTACACATCCGCTAAGGTATTTAGAAACAAAATTCAACCTTTATCACCTTTATATAATCTTTTGTGTCTTTTAAATCAGGTAAGTACTCGAAACCGCCATTTTGGTTTTGATTAATCTTGTGTAGGCTGATATGAGAAAAACTTAACAAATTTTCAAATATTATTTTCACATACCATGATTTACCTTCATCTTTCTTATTTATTTATTTTTTTCATTATTTTCGAAATTTTAAATTTTAATCTTGGTGTTTGAAAACTACTAATTATTAAATTTAAATGAATATTTTTTACGTCAATCTTTAAATTAAATAACAAATCCTTCCATATTCACTCACAATAAATAATTAGCAACACCAACATCAGCTGTTATAAACTTAAGAAATATTGTTGTGTCTTATCAATAGTCTGTTGAAATATTAAATAAACTATATCTATACTATAAAAAGGTGGGTTTTAGTAATTTAGCTCGTGTAAGAAGTAATGCCAATGAGGATTTATTGTTAATGAAATTATAAGAAGACTTGATTTTTTATATCTTTAGTACATAATAATTTTATTTACAAATGAAATTGAGCATTACAGACCGCAGACAAACCTAAATATGCTTATCAAAACATCAAGGACAAAAAAATATAAATACAGTATGTTTCATTTCATGTCTGATTCTACTCTACAAAAATATCTACGAACAACTCAATATGCAAACCTGTTTTTTTAATCAGTTCCATAGTCCATTGCCTTTACATTATCACAGTAACCATTAAGTAAACATAGTAACATATATTTTATTGATTTTAGAAAAAAGTACATGTAAATTGCAAGTTATGTTAAGATAATCCAACACATGTTAAGCAGTTCTAATTTATGAAAAATATCGTCCAAATTCATACAAAACATCTATACATAGTAATTTTCATATTTCTTCCATAGAAATATATCAATATCATTATTTTCACAACTTTGACACTTTAAAAAATCTAAAGTAGAGCCTAGGTTGATATAGTGGTTAAAGAATCTTTTTTTATTTCTATATTATTGACATAGTTCAAGAATAAATAATCTTATGGTAAAGTTTTAGATTAAATAAATCTACCACTAAACCAACTTAATAGTTGTATTATATTTAATTTCTTCTTTAATTTCTTAATCAGCTGTCTAAAAAATTATGAAATACGCAATTTGGCAGTTCTTCTGGTTTACATTGAACTATCAAAGCAAATGTAAACATTGTGAGTGTTCTCGTTGCAGCCATGGAGACCAATCAATATTTACTTTTAAAATCATTACCACAGAACTTTTAAAGCCAAAGAGGCAAAGTACACGGTCAGTATCGAAGTGTGAATAGTCCTATTACCATTCTTGGTATGGTAGCTATATTATTGTAAAATTTGAGCCCAGTCGGTTTAGTAGATGTTGCTCCTATTATTAGTACAAATACAGACAGACACCAGTAGAATTGTATATAATAGGATAGATATAGATTATTTACATAAATATAAAAAAGTGCGGGGTATATATATATATTAAATATTAAGTTTTTATACCCACGAAGATTTGGCAGAGGAATTAATTTCATAATCTCCCTAGGATCTTCTCTGGCAATAATTTCCTCAATACTTGCTGCACGGTCACATCAAGTCCTTTATCACTCTTGACATTGACATTATCACTGAAATAAGTATGTAAACATGGTAAATCTGCTTACACGGCTGTTGCACACTGTGACAAATAGTAATAACTCAATAGTTATTTGTCAAATTAGCTCAATATTTTATCAATATAAATAGTACTATGCAATTCATTAAACATGTTATTTAAAAATAAAATAAATAAAATTCAATAAAACCACCAACATCATGAGTTGAATTAAACGAATAGTTTATTTTCATAAAATCTTGATTTTAGGATTTTTTTATTATGACAATAAATATAATTTAAACATCAACATAAGAATAATTGTTAAGAATAAAATATCTCTAAAAAGTGGAATCGATTTTGGAAAAAAATTATTATAGACTTACTATCTTGGTTGTTCTCCTTAGAAAGTCCTAATCCCAAGTCAGGAATGTTGTCCTGCAGTTCTGGATTGTGTAAAAACCCGGGAACCCTTTGTCTCCAGTTGGTTCCAAATCTCCTTGTAAGCTCTGAATGAATACAAAATACTAGGTACATATACAGTTGTTTTTAAAAGATAAATATTTCATATTGACCTTATGATTCATATTGCTTGTACTATTTCACCCTTATGTTTTTAATAGGACATTTCCAGATTTTGAATGGATTTAAATGGTTATTTTATTTAATTTATGTGAAAAAATAGCTATATTTTTAAGTCATCAGTAGATTTTCTAGCCTCGCATTTTCCCATTTACATGGAATTGAAAGTCCTGTGCGCGAACGTTTCAAGAAAATTAAGAGTTAGCTAATACAGTACAAGATTGAGATAAACCGGTATTAAGTGTCAGCACCGAAATTCATACTCAAGACATGGTTTCACAGTTGATCGTGCTACCGACTGGGTCATTTTTATACCTATGCTTAAATCTGTACTTATTAAATAATGCATATTTACCTTCACCTAGTCTTTTTGTCATTGGAGGGAGGTCTTTTGTCTTTTCCTCGTAGGTTCGCGAAGAGTTATTTTGTGGAGATTTATCGGCAAAACTGTCCCCATTTTGTGATCTGTTATAATTGTTTTCTTTGGACCCGAATGGTGGAGAATCAGCATTGTCAATGAAAGGCTCGTGGGCTGATTCTGAAGGTCGGTGATAGTTGAAATCGTTTCCCAAACCAAAAGGATTATGTTTCGGCTCCTCCTCTGTATTTTCCTGATTTTTAAGATTATTGTCAAATCGAGTTTCCTTTTCATCGTCAGATTTCATCTCAGTATATTCAGGATTGAAGTTTATGTTAGAAGGAGGGTCGACATCAATGTAATCTAAAAAATCACTTCACAGTCTAATGAGATTGCATTCGAAGATTAAAATATATTTTTAGTACAAAAATGTATTTATCATGGAATCAGAATGCAGTTTTAGTGAAAAACCCTTTTTTATCATACAACTATTTTATAAAAAATTATAGTATTTTAAAAGGCTTATTTGAACACTTTAAATTAATGGTCCCTTATGAAAAAGTTTATATATGGCCATATAATTTTTTTTTTATCCGGTTATATTTGGTTTTGGACCAAATATAACCAGATATGATCATATATGGAATCCCCCATATATAGAAATTTAAAAAATATATAAATAAATAAAAAAATTACAATCAAACATATTTTTACATTAAATGGTATAAACTATGCATTAAAACTATAATTAAAATTTAAAATTCAAAAATTTCAAAACAAAATTTTCGAGCATCCGATTGGAATTCGAACCCGGGACTCCAGCGTGAGAGTCCGCCCCTTTAGCCACTACACCACAACCGCTACAAATGGCTTAACAAAACCCATTACGAATAAGAGAAGCTGTATTTGGTCTCGTAAAACAAGATTTTTCATAGACATTTTATGCCATTTGAAGAATGTTGTTATTAATATAGCCTAACTACGTGACATTGATATTTGCAGCTGTTTGATAGCAAAGGTACAATTAATTAATTATTAATATAATATTCTCCTTACAAACTACTACACTTACAATTTTTAAATTATACGTCAGTTTTAAGATATTGTTGCGATATAATAAAATTGTACAATAGATGTATGTACAGGATTTTGTCATCTGGGTTCAAATCTGGATACTTTATTACTTTACTACTAATTACTTTAAAGGAGAAATGCCTATATTATCTGCCTCCCTACTGTACCACATTTCAACTCAATCAGTTCAGTAGTGTGTGCTTACGAGAGCAACAAGAAAATACACAAACTTTAAGATTTATAATATTATAAGAAGTGTTTGGGAGTCCAGTTACATAATCCAAATGTGGCAACAATTCCTTATAATAATTCCAATTATCGTCAAAAACTCATTTATACATGAGCATAAATGGAAAATTATCATTCCATATATGAGTAATTTAATTCCATACCTGGGAGTCATATATGACCATAATATATAGACCATAATTCCATATATGGAGGATATTTATGGCCATATATGGGCAATAATTTCATATATAGAAAACATGTATGGCCATATATGGCCAATAATTCCATACATAGACTACATATATGACCATATATGGATACCACCATATATGGATACAACCACATCTGGCCATATATGCTTCCATATATGGTCATCAAAAACCATATATGACTTTATAAAAACATATATGGAATTTTGATATGGCCAGAAATTACTTTTTATAGGGGGTAGTGATTAATCATTTAGAATATTTTATGAAATAAAAATAATTGTGGAACACTAGACAAACAAAGCAAGCATATTAATATATTCACTCATTTTGTGATATCAACGATTCTTTGGTTCAATCTCGTCATCTCAGTTACTTATACACAAACTCTTGACAAAATGATTGACTTTGCCAAATTTTGTCAAAAACCATTGAGATAATTTACTCACAGGCCTATAAATTTAGCTAATCAGAGTATCACAATTATTAACTATTGCAGTAATAATGTATGAAATAATAATTATGTAAATTCTATAAACCAGGAATAATCCTAAAGATTCCGTGCTTCTATTTAACCAAGGAAATTACTATGTCACCGACAATAGTATTCATAAAATTCAATTGAATAATATGAATGTTGGAATGCGTAACATTTTAGTTTAAGTGAATGCCAAAAAATAATACAGAAACTTAGGAAAGCCGATTGCAATAGTTTGTAGTGCACTTGAAAGATCTCTAAGGACATTTTGTATAGAATTTCATATTTTCTGAAACCCCGTTTTAAAATAACGCAATTGCTATAACACAGGGTGAATCTCGTAAGATATCCACTATTATTTCAGAAAAACCTTCGGTACAACAGTGATTAAATAAATCTGGTTCCCACTTAATCAACTCCAAGGAATGAATTTTATAATAGTTTGAAGATAGTTTGAATACAGAATATATTGAAACCAGAGGTTCACTATTTCAAATTTTACAATCGTCAAATAAAAATTTATGTCGTATTATAAACCATTTTAATGCTCTTGTAAATACAAATATTCTGGTGTAATTTAAATGGTGACTCCTCATGTGGAAAAATTGGTTCTTTTTTGAATATCCTATATTTTTCATACAAATTCCGATATCTCTGCCCTAATTAAAATGTTCCATTTTTTATGGGCGAAGCTTGACATTGAGACGTAATATTACAATATTACATATCACAAGACCAGAATAAAAAAAAATATATTTTTTGTTTTAGTTACGTAGTCAAAACTCGGAAATTTCAAATAGCATTATGTGTTAAACAGCATACATAATTTGGCTAAGCAATTCTGAGCAAGTTTCTAATTTACAATTTTTTGTTAGCTCTTTTAGTTGTTGAGTTGTAAAATAAAAAAAAAAACATGATTCCCCATATAAAACTCACGTTCTTGTATGCAGTGCCGTTTTTTATTAAATGTAATTATTAAATGTATTAAGACATTGTGAAACAATTATGTTTAACAGTTAACACATTTTTAAGCTATTTCTTGAGGTCTGTTTAGTGGGAACATTGCATTTTATTGTTGTGGGAGCAACGGGTTTGTCCTAAAACAATAGCGGACACCTTATGAGATTCACTCTGTATATTAGGTTCAGTAAACGTCAACGCCCAATGGCCATTCTACTCTTACTTAAATAATAATTGCAATACCAACCCGTCTGTGAGACTGGTCGTCTGGTATCGCTCTCAGTGGGGCTGACAATCTCTGGCCTGTCGTCAGTCATTCTTTCAATTGCCTTTGAAACGTCTTCTCCAGAGGGATAGTTTTGAGCTTCTTTATGAGTCTTTATGCTTTGAGCTTTTGTATATTCAAATGCCGCCGTTTCCTCTGTGACACTGGGGCTTGGGCTGGTCCTTTCTGGAGAGGACTCAGGATTGTTCTGACCAAATTTATTGTTTTTGTGAAATGTTTCGAACAAAATATTTGTCAATCGTGCCATCGTCTCCTCAGGTATCATATTCACTGATTAAAAAATTCATACATCAAAATTAGAAATTTACAAACATAATATTAGATAGCTTATTGCCAACTGTGTGTTATTCTAAAAAAACTTGGTTGTTTTTTAAAGTAGTATTCAAATAGCGTGGAAGTCTTTTTTGAGTTGATAAAGTGTCTATTTTGGTATAATGAAGACATTTTTCATTAAAGGAGCCTCGAATACTTAGCTTATGCAGTCCATACGATAACTTATTATTTCATTGTTTTTGTAAAATCTTTGTATGTATTATTCTTTTATAAATTTCTAGTGTTACAGAATTATAGACCTGAGTCTTGTATTGCAATGTTTCTTGTGTAAAAATGAATTTAAAAATCCCAGGGAGATTTTTTAAGGTTTTGAGGAAAGAATCATTTCTAAGGGTGTATACAGTTTTAGGTAAGTTTCTTAACATGTATATGTATTTATAAAAAAATGATACTGTTTATCCACAGTTTGACTATTTAAGCCTTTAAATAAATTATTAAAAAAACGACCTGTTGACAAGCAACTTAAATTATAACCTAATACAATAACAGTTACTGTTAGCTCGACTGTAAGATCTGCTAAGCAATTGCACAATTCATTTATATGCTCAGACATACGATGTCACAATACTTACTTAATGACTTATATGATTCTGGAATGGCATCCCCAGAATTATGTATTGCATCTACTATGTCCTTTGGATCCCTTGTTTCTGCAAATTTGCTAGTGTTTAGTGAACGAGCCATTCTAAACGCCGTTTTGGCCAGTTCGAAGTTTTCTTTGATTTCTTTGACCCCATTCTTGAAGCTATAATAGCTTTCCTTTACTGATGTGCAGCTGTCCGTTACAACTGAAATAGTAAGGGAAAGACATATTAATATTTACGGTTTAAACATTAAAAAATTATTTATCTTAATAATTTCATCCATCGTAAATAAGTAGTGTTTTAACGTACAGGGAATCTACTTTTAACCAATATTCAGAAGAATTAATAAAATGCTATTAATAAATAGCTATGAATTGTCATGTTTTAAGGAATAGCTTACGTAGTAATAATATTTCTGGTTTTTATTGATGTATTTTAAGTACAAATATATATCTGCTTACTTACTACCTGCTAAGCACGATTACGACCACAATTTTCTGGATAACATTTTTTTCTTACAGAATTATAAGGATATATAAAGAATTAAAATAATATCACAATTTTTTTTTAATAATGCATTGGTCCTTTTTTTATCTATATGAAAAAAGTTTCAATATTTGTTACTTCGATCATGAAATCAGCAACAAGAAACACGTCTATACTAATTTACAGTATTACTAAGTTCTGTTTCAAAGAAAAGTTCTAGATCAGTAGTGTACTTTCCCGATAATAAGAATATGAATTTTCTAAAATTTAACATGGGCCTTTTGGGTTGCCATGCCGCCAAGACAGTTTTGGTGAACAAGAAGAACCTTGCCATCTATGCCTATGTTTACACAAAGAAAAAGAAAATGACAATCGTATTAATACCATTGAGTATATTACACTAAAATGAATAACCGAACAGGTCTATGTCGAGTTGTGAAATAAATTAAATATAAAACAGAACACTCTAACCCTTATCTCTTTTTAGATTAATTAGACAGCAGATTTATTGGTTTATTTTGATTTAACTATTATTTAATGTAGAATCTCTCAACATTACCTATGAATAATTTGATATAGGTCAAATAGTAAATACAAAACTACACACTGGCGCTCGTCAATTGAAGTGTCGATCGTGCCCTGAACTCTATTTTTTTTTCAATTACACTTCTATAACTTATTAAAACCTTTTATAGGTAAAAAATAATGAACAATACAATATTCAGAAAAGATTTTGATCACACGCCATATAAAATTGGAGAAAACGCACAAAATATTAGCATATACTATAACGTCGCCAGCAGCGGCCCGCGGTTACTGTTGCCTTTGTCGCAACAATGCGATTTAAGCTGTTCGAGAAATTTTGTTGGGTTAGGTTAGGTTCCATGTCATCTAACCTAACCAACCTAACTTCTCAGACAGCTTAAAATTTGCATTACAGTACTTTGTTATATTCTACTACTTTGTGTGTTTTATCTAAACTGACATAGTGTGGATCAAAAACCTTTTTCTAAATATTGCATTTTTTATTATTTATTACCTATAGAAGGTTTCAATAAATTATAGAAGGGTAATTGGGAAAAATAGAGTTGTGGGCACGTAATGAAATTTTGACCGCAGTAAGTTATATGCAATGTTGGTAAAATTGTCTACACCAACGTGCTGAGGAGGAGGAGTATGCTTCGTCGACACTTATCATAGTTGTAGTTTTTTACAAAACTGGTGCAAAGCTGTTTTTATCTTACGCAAGCTAACTTTACCCCTTTCTGTAAACAAGGACTGTCTGGTCTATAAAGAGTACTGAAAGGCTATTCATTGTGTGCCGAAAAATAAACTTGGTGTACTGTCTCAGGTTTACCAACTAAGCGGAGTGAAGAAAACAGTAAACAAATAATCTTTTATTCTAAATAAAACTTAAATTTAAAAATAGACTAACATTAAACTTTTAACGAGCAATACAATTCTTCATCATACGAGTAGAGCACCTCAAGTCCATTTACTGTTTTTGTATAACTTGTAACTCTTCCAATAAAAATGGCTCAGTTTGTTCTTGTTCTTACTGGCGACAACGCTAAATAAAGTAATCCGAGGAGAAATTTTGAGTTTTCCAGGTCAACCACAGCTTTATCATAAGTGCACCCTTGACTGAGATGTACCAAAATCGCACAGGCAATCTTTAGTGGGGATTGCCTATGTAAACATTTTCCTCAATTTAATTTAACGGAAGCAGTTAAGTATGTAAAAGGTAGCAAATCTTTGTACAAAGCCAGTTTAATGCATTTTTCAAATTTAAAATTAGGATATCTGCAAGATAATTTTCATTGTTAGCAAATTGTACATGGTTTAAGCTGCAGTAGGCTACCTATGCTACAAACACATAGGCATAAAAAAGTTCAAAGATTATTCCAAAGTACTAAAACAACAACCTTTTTAAGTAAAAGGTTTTGTTAAGGTATTGGCAGTATTGGTGTTCATGACAAAGGACACGGTACAGGCACATTAGCTTGTTCTTATTTCACCACAATAAATTCATTTGTATGTAAATATGTATATTATTTTTAAATCTTTTTGTTATCATGGTTAATCACAATTAACCATAATATGGTTAATTAATGTTAATGTATGGTAATCATAAATCGTTAGGCAACAATGGATGAAACCTCCATGAAATATTTTTAGACATACTCCTTTTACACTATAGGAAACAACCCTATAGCAGATATGCAATCCTTTTGGATCAGCAAAACTATTGCATGTCTTTTAGTATATTTAAGTTTGGATCAAAAATATTAAATTATAATATACTAGTAAAACGCTTATTCTGCGCGTAACGGGATGAGTGAACATGAGCGCAGTAATGAAAGAGTCCACCCACACCTAGCCTACTTACCGGTGTCACTGGTAAACACAATGTTATTTGTATGGGCAAATCAACCAAATCTTAGTTAACAACAATCCTAACTTCTCGTCCATTAATTAACCAAAGTCATTGGTAATATACGTAATGGATTTCCAACAGTTATCGATTGGAGGTAAATCCATCGTTCCTGTACAAAACGTCTTTTGATTAAATGAAGCCTATTTCCATATTTGTTATGAGACCTATCATAAACAAAACTAAGCCAAACTGAGCTAATCTAACTTAACCTAATTGCCAAAGCACGGTGTAAGGAATCTCCTAAAAATATCGTATGGCTTACAATGATGATTTAAAACAACGATATCGCAATTATATCATCTAAAAATGATTAAAAATCCAATATATGTTTATCTAATGAATCTAAATGCCATAAACGGTTCCCACACTCCGCATTGCTTGCCTTTACCACTTCCATCGCCACTACCTACGTCATGGACCTGGTTCCCTCCCTTCCCTCAGCATTTTAGTATTGAATGTACATTAAACTACCACAAACTCTTCCCACATTCAGAACTTCTCGCCTTTGCCAAATCCTTCCCTACTTCCTATGACGTGGACCTGTTTTCCTCCCTTCCCATATCATTTTGGTATTGCAAATGCATTAATCTAACTGACACCAACGGCTCCCACACTCCGCACTGCTCGCCTTGACTACTTCCTTCACTACTTCCCACGTCGTGGACCTGTTTCCCACCCTTTCCATAGCATTTTAGTATTGCAACTGTTTCATTGCAGATACATAAATCTCACTGTCGCCAAAGGGTTCCCACATTCCGCACTTCTCGCCTTGACTACTTCCTTTACCACCTCCTACGTCGTGAACCTGTTTCCCTCCCTTCCTTTAGCATTTTATTATTGCAGATACATTAAACTAACTGTCACAAAGGGTTCCCACACTCCGGACTGCTCGCCTTGACTACTTCCTTCACCACTTCCTACTTCGGGGACCTGTTTCCCTCCCTTCCCATAGCATTTTAGAATTGCAGTTACATTAATCTAACTGTTACAAAGGGTTCCCACACTCTTGACTGTACGCATTGACTACTTCCTTTACCACTTCCTACGTCGTGGACCTGTTTTCCTCCCTTCTCATAGCATTTTATTATTGCAGATACATTAATCTAACTGTCACAAAGGATTCCCACACTCCGGACTCCTCGCCTTGACTACTTCCTTCACCACTTCCTACGTCCTGGACCTGTTTCCCTCCCTTCCCATAGCATTTTAGAATTACAGTTACATTAATCTAACTGTAACAAAGGGTTTCTACACTCCGGAATGATCGCCTCAACTACTTCCATCACCACTTCCTACGTCGTGGACATGTTTCCCTCCCTTCCTATAGCATTTTAGAATTGCAGGTACATTAATCCAACTGTCACAAAGGGTTCCCCACACTCCGGACTGCTCGCCTTGACACCTTCCTTCACCACTTCCTACGTCGTGGACCTGTTTCCCTCCCTTCCCATAGCATTTTAGAATTGCAGATACATTAATCTAACTGTCACAAAGGGTTCCCACGCTCAGGAATGCTTGCCTTGACTACTTCCTTCACTACTTCCTACATCGTAGACCTGTTTCCCTCTCTTTCCATAGCATTTAAGTATTACAGATATATTTATCTAACTGTCACAAATGATTCCCACACTCCGGACTCCCCGCCTTGACTACTTCCTTTACCACTTCCTACGTCCTGGACCTGTTTCCCTCCCTTCCCATAGCATTTTAGAATTGCAGATACATTAATCTAACTGTCACAAAGGGTCACCCCACTCCGGACTGCTCGCCTTGACTACTTCCTTCACTACTTCCTACGTCGTGGACCTGTTTCCCTCCCTTCCTTTAGCATTTTATTATTGTAGATACATCAATCTAACTGTCACAAGGGTTCCCACGCTCCGGAATGCTCGCCTTGACTACTTCCTTCACTACTTCCTACATCGTAGACCTGTTTCCCTCTCTTTCCTTAGCATTTAAGTATTACAGATATATTAACTTAACAGTCACAAAGGATTTCCACACTCCGCACTGCTCATCTATCCGCTCCCTTTACCACTGTCTACGTCGTGGACCTGTCCCCCCCCCCCTTCGCATAGCATTTTAGTATTACTAACATCTTTGAATATTTAATATTCAGTGCCAACATTAAATTGAATAATGTAAAAAGCTGCTTTGTTCTAAATATATACATAGGCCTATATATATATTTTTTAATTTAAAGGTGAATTTTAATACTGAACATAAACTGTATATAACTGCCGACTAATATTGTAAAGTTCAATTTATTATTCAGAAAGTT